CTTTGGCCCACGAAAAATGGGCTGTTACATTAAGCAATTACCCAAGTAACAACAAGCATCTCTAGGCTTAACAACCAAGTGTTTTTTTACAGTCAAGCCTCCCAAAATCAAGAATAAGTATTATTTTTCAGACAAACCTCTTCAGGCTCAACCTTGTAACAATAGTTATAAAGGTTACAAAGAAGTTGTGTTTGTCTTACTAAGATGTTATACAACCAATTATAGAGCAATGAATATTTACAAGAAAGAATAAATTTTCGGGGTGTGTTTCTATACAAATGTATATATGTGTGTTTGTTCTCTAATATATATTTTATGTCTCTATCTTCCATGAGCTTTAAATATTCTTATATAGTAGCTTAGAGAAAATGATTGTTGCAACACTTTGAGTCCATTTCAAAAGTTTTTTTTGTCTAATCAAGGAAGTTACTTATCAATTTTCCATACCCAACGGAGCTTGTAGAAGCAATGTTAGCATAGAGTCAACTACAGTAGTGACTATCTACTTTTCTCTATGATTTTAGGACTTTGGTTTTAATGGAAAGCATGATTTTTTCTTTAATAGATTTGTGAGTTCCAAGATGATCTTTTGAATATATTTTTTAAGGAATGAAGCATTCAAGGTGAACTTTATCGTTGGTCTCAATAAATGATAAATATTTAATGTATATGAGACAAACTGTATGATTCATCTAATTAATAATGTCTTACAGACGATATACATCTTACACTTCATCTGATAAGTCATTCAAAGATATGTTTCAAAGATGTTTTCATAAACATTTCTTTTATATAAAAATGTTTTATTTATTAGCATTAAAATTAAAAATTTTGGATCGTCTTTTGACTTAACAAATTATACTTTGTTTATGTATGACTATGATGTCAAAAAATAAAGATGACTATTATTTGATGCACTTTACATTTATCATGAGTAAATATAGGGAATTAAACCCTTATAAATTTGTCATTGTCCTTAAGTTCGAAAAAAGGTAGTTTGCATTTACATGATAAGTCATTTAATTGAAATATGATGAAATGAGTATATGATCCTTTTATGATTGTGCCTGACAAGATATCAAAAAGTAGAGATGGATATTATTTGATGCATTTTGCATTCCTCGTGAGAAAATATAAGGTATTAAAACGTTATCAATTTTTCTTTGTACCAAAATTTTGGATAAATTAGTTGCATTGACATGATGAAACTTTTAATCAACATATAGTGAAAAGGTATATAATTTTTTTATGATTATTGTTGATCAAGCTCGAGATGAAGACATGATCTTAGTTGGTTTTGATGATTACAAATGAGTCTCTTGAGAGATAAGAGTGCAACTTGTAGTTTATTTTGTTTTTGAGCCTCTTGATAAATAAGAGTGCAAGTTGTATCTTGTTTTATGTGGTTTTAAGCTTTGTTGCTTGTGTGCTTTATGCTTGGTTAGTAACTTAACATTTTATCTCTATCTAGATGATGATTGATGACCTAGATATAAGTTAAAATTGACTTGTAAAGAGAAATGGTATAAAAAAATTGAGATATTAAGTTTTCACTTAAGATAATCGACTATTTCAAGTAATAATTAATTATTTACTCTATTTTTGAGTTACTTGAGGAGTAGTTGTTGTAATAATTAATTATTCAACAAAATAATCAATTATTTCTAAAACAAAAAATGATAAACAACATTGTGCAAACAATAATTATTATATTAGTGCATATTTTATTACAAAAATGATATAATTTAATTTACTGAAATATTCTAATTTTGAAGGACTTCTTTTGAAAAAAAAATCAATATTAACAATTTTATATAATAAGCTACTATAACTTTTAATGCACATTGGTTTCATAATGCAAGAATCAAGCCTATAACTTTTAATGCACATTGGTTTCATAATGCAAGAATCAAGCCTATAACTTTTAATGCACATTGGTTTCATAATGCAAGAATCAAGCCTATAACTTTTAATGCACATTGGTTTCATAATGCAAGAATTAAGCCTAGTTACAATAGTTGAAGACTATCAGCTTGATCACTAAACCATATGATTTTATGTTTATATATCTAAAAAAAATTATGTTTATATATGTGTATCTATAAAAAGAAAAAAGATCTTCTTACTCTAAGAACAAGTTTATCTAAACTTATTCCATTTAATAATTCATGATTTTTATCAAATTTTAATAATCTAATCATTGAATTAAAAGTTCTTAATACATAAATCTAGCCTACAAATTTTGAAAACTATTTGATGCTTTGTTTCATTAGTTCAAATTGGTGTATAAAATACTTTTACGATTATCCGTCAATTTGATTTAATAAAATGAAATATTATATTATTTTTAATTTTTAAAAATTTGTAAATTTGAACAATACATTAAAATTTTTTAATTCAATGATTGAATCATCGAAATTTAATGTAGATTATGAGTTATTTAGTAAGTCTAAATAAACTTATTTATGAAATAAATGGATTTCCCTTCATCTTTATATATATATATATATATATATATATAATTAAAGTTAAATTATATTTTATTTATACTAATTCATGCATTTTAACTAATGACTAATTTTGAATAAGATAAGACTTGAATTCCAACGAATGTGATTATTTAATATTAGTAACTACTACTATTAAATCAACATGTTTTGATGTTATATATTAATTTATAGAGTTTCACCAATTTATAATTTCTTTGTTAGAGGTAAGATTCAAACACATCATTTTCATGTATGTGTTAGTGGCCATTAAAACTAATATACTTTATTATTATTCAATTGTCTTAAATATTTTCTATAATATTTTTTAACTTAAAATTATATATTTATACGATTGTTAGAGTCTATAATTTGATTGTTCTATTATTATATTAATTATAATTTTTTAAAGACTTCTTTAAAATATAATATAAGTTTTATAAATTTTATTAAAATTTATAAATATAAAATATATGACATAAATATATATATTTTTAAAATATTAATAGAGACCTACTATGCAGTATGCACATCAATTAGCGAGGATTCCACTATACCTAAGCGAGTATGATGATGGTTTTTAAATGAGGAATGATGATAGAACTGAGCAGGGATTGCAGATAGAGAAGAAGGAAGAGAAGGGATGCGTTGAGTTGATTGTTGAGCGTAGTAGCAATGATTGGCCTCACTCTCAGTCCCACTACTAACTTCCCCATCAATTTCAAACCCATTCTCAAACCCCCTCTTCTTCACCTCAAATCTTCCATTTCCTGCACCCTACACAACAACGACATAGCAGCCCTCAGGTATTCTAAACTCTCTGTTACACTCTTCTCCCTCCAATCATTCTACTGCTTAGTTAACTAAACCACTTTTCTTACCAGGTCAGCTTCTGTGAGGCTCATTGATGGGAATCAGAACATGGTTACTTCTTTTATCCCTTTCTTTCTCTTTGCATTTTCATTCTGCTTACCCCTAACCCCTTCTTCCCACTTTTCCTAGGTGGGCCTTGTGTCCAAGGCTCAGGCCCGTCAAATGGCCCAGGATGCTCAACTTGACCTCGTAATATACTTTCTTTGTCTTTTGCCTGCTTATCTCAGTTTAAATAATGCACATGCATGCTCCATTCTCTTTATTTTTCTGCCTATCTGAATTTCGGTTATTCTCTCGTGCCAACTTTGCAAACTTTGTTGGAGAGAAGAAAAATGAAACCTCCTCGATATTGGACTTAGAGAGGGGAGGGATTTTTTACTTTTGTTTTGACCCATTAGTTTCCATTCACCTCCATCCAAACATGTCTGTCAAAATAGCAATCAAAGTTAAAATAAGGTGGCATTAATGTAAGAGTAAATTATGTATCAAAGGAGTCTACCTTAGTTAGTTGACCAGGTGCGTGAGTGTTGTAAACTCCATTGGTACCCGTATTTCATTTCCATGATCAAAAAAAGAGTAAATTATATAGACATTCCTTAAGGTTTTTGTTTGATTGCAATTTGCACGCATACTCTTTACATTTTCTATCCCTACAATAAACACCTTATTTGTTTGGAAAATATTATGCTAAGTATTGACCCCCCTTAGACATTACGTTAACTTCCTTAATTATTTGAAAAACATTACATTGTGACCTCCTTGTAAGGAAAGTTACTGTTAACCTTAAAAAACAAGGGGTGTGTATACAATTTCACTAAATCTTAGTGGGTGTTAGTGTAATTTACTGTTGTAATTATTAGTGAAAGAACAAAATGAACATAACATTTTCTTAAACCAAACAACTCCCTTGTGTTGTGACTCAGTTTTGTTAGTTGGCTCAGTGCACACCTACTTTGCACGATCATAAGAATGCAGGCTGCTTCTAATATGAGTGCAAAGTAGTGACTTATTTTCCCTATATTTTTCAGGTGATAGTATCGCCAGATTCAGATCCTCCTGTTGTAAGAATGATGGATTACAAGTATGATCTTTGAACATCCTGAGAGAAATTATCATCTTTGTTTCAATACTTTTTTTGCTTACCTGGATATTTTTTTTATGCTTATATTAAATATGCTATCACAATACTTTGCTTACCTGGATAATGTGTTTGTATTTGTGTCATATTGTCATGTTCACACTTCACGTGTTGGTTAGTGGGTTTAGCTGTTAATAGTCTACTTGTCTACATGTTCAACAATTAGGTATTTAACTAATGCTTAATTGGATTTATAGACTAATATAAATATTTTAGAGCATGTCTAGACTCTAGATACAACCTTAAAAGGGCCTTTAAGAGCTGCTCTACTGAAAAATACGTTTTATTTTTAGTAGAGAAGCTTTCAAAAGCCCTTCTAAACTATATCCAAATAGGCTCTTAGTGTCTTTGTTTTTGTGCTTCTAGCTTTATGCAATTACAATTACTTGTCTTTTTAAAATATTATGTGGCATAGGGGAGTGTTGGTGAAGGTGGGAGTGGGGGTGTCATTTGCATTCAGTTGTCTATAAATTGATGATGTGGTTCTATATGGTAGTGTATTTCCATTCATTTCAATGCCTGGTCGTTAAATTTTTCAATTCAACTCACATGTTGGAAATATATTGAAAGTTAAAATTATATTATTTATTTTATATAGACTTGGTGCTTTTTAACTGTGTATCTTAGCAAAAGTAATAAAGACAGAAAGCCGAGTATGTTATATTTTAGGCATTTAAATCAGTCTATATTAAGATAAGCATGTGGTTGACGAGAGATTATATTTGTCGTAGTTCTTTTATTTTCTGCCTGCTGTCTGCTCTTATACTTATCCTATGAAATTATTGAATCTTGAAATTTAGAAATGATTATATTATTTATTTTACAGTAAATACAAATATGAACTGCAAAAGAAGAAGAAAGAACAGCAGAAAAGAAGTTCTGGTAATCGTTGTATTTTATTTTCTTTTAAACTTTACTGTTTTCTTCCAATTCATGTAAAACTCAGATTAACAACACATCAAATGCGGATGTGTTCTTTTAACTGCAGCTAATCGGATGGATTTGAAGGAGCTCAAAATGGGGTAATGTTCTAGCCTAGATCCTTCTTCCTTATTTATTTATTTTTCTTTTATTTCTGACATTCATATGTTTACTAATCTATTTGGAGTTCTGATATGTTCTTATTGGTCAAGTATACATAATTTTAAATTGTAATAAGTCAAGGTTCTAACTTATGGACACCAAATTTAGGCAGTTTGACTATGGGTCCTCTTGAAAAGCATTGCATGTGTACCTTTGTATCTGTTTTGGCTTTTTCAGTTCATTGATAGACTTGGTGCTTTTTAATTGTATATATAAAATCTAAACTAGCAGAAATAAAAGGCTGTGTATTTTAAATCTCAAGCATTTGTAATTCATGTACATAGACTTGGTGCTTTTTAACTGTGTATCTTAGCAAAAGTAATAAAGACAGAAAGCCTAGTATGTTATATTTTAGTCATTTTTTATTCACATACATATGTACTTGGTGCTTTTTAACTGTGTATTTTAGAAACTAGCAGGAATAATAATGAGAGAAAGCTCAGTATTTTGAGTTTTAGGTATTTTTATCATGAAAAGTTTGCTTTGGGTTGTCGACTTGGGATCAATATGAAACTAAAACACAATGAATTAAAAAGAGTTTTTTTTTTTGTGCTACTCAAACACAAAAAGATAGGTAACCACCAAAAAAGGTGTATGTTAGGAAGAAGTTACATGAGCAGCAGGGGATCTATTCTACAAGTAAGGATGACGACTTGCAAGAAATGTGAATAACTAAATCCTATGTGTGATGAGTCTCATGATGGAGGGAGAGTAAACAACACAGCAGTGTGGGATAAATAGGAATTGAGGGAAAGGAAAGAAGTGATTATAAGCAGTGGGGAGAGAACCAGGCCCCTTGAATGTGTGACTTCTAGTGTGTTTTCTTTTAAATTTCTGCTAGTTTTGTATACACATATCAGAGCCCACTGATTTGATGTGAAGTTGATGTCAGCTTACACGACTTGATACATATCTCAGTTTGCATGGTTCTGATCTGGTGCCTATCACAAAAATTATGTGATGCATTGATGCTTCATGGGTATATACAAGGATAAAAGTAATATTGTGGTTTTCAATAACAAAATCTGTCATGAGTGATTAGATATCATGACTGTTCAAAACAAACAACAACAAAAGCCTTATCCTATTAGGAGAGGTCAGCTACATGGACTACAAGATGCCATTCAGCTTGGTTAAAGACCAAATTCACCATGAGACCTCTCCTAATAATTTCCTCCAATGCCCCTTTTGGTCTCCCTTTCCTCCTTTCACATGACTAAAAACCATGAAATCTATTTTCCTCACTAGTATTTCTACTAGTCTTCTTTGTACATGTTCCAAATCACCTTAACAGAGGACAATCTTATATCAAATGACAAATTGTATTTCAGTGGGAGAGTCTAGGTTTCTCGAACACCTGGGTTACATTTTTTGTTTTTCAGTAATTTGTCTTTACCCATTCCAGTTTACGAATTCATCTCCACTGAGCTACAAAGGGGGGATTGATTTAAATATGTTTTTCATTCTCTTATTAGTTATTACTTTTGATCCAGTTCTATCAGAAAGAAGCAAGGTTTCGATGAGAAAAGTGACAACAAAGGCATGAGATTGACCACAAGTAAATGGTACACTTTGTATGGAGAGAATTTGGCTAGGGAAAGTGTCTTGACACAGGAAAGTGATTGGAAAGTTGCAAGAAAAGGAGACAGCCACCAAGAATTGTAGCAGAGTTCAGGTGTGCAACAAAGGGGTTTCATATTTTTGGGAATCTGGCAGTGAAACCACAGAGGATTCACTTTGTTTCAAGAATCATGGAGGATTTTACCAGTTTGTTGAGAGAATTATTGTAAAAAATTATTTGTTAGCCACCCCACATGTTCTGATATTAGTTGATTTTGTACAATCAATTAGAGAATAATCTCAGCTAACAAATATTATTCTCTACAATAATGATTAGTAATTGATTATTCTATTCTAATCAACATAGTATAGTTGATTGTGTTGTTACGTATAAATGCTTAATCCCAACATAGTCTTGTTTAGAGATCCAGCATCTTTTGTCTACCCAAAATCTTACAGATTAACTATCCTTACATTCTGGACGTTGAGCTTTTGCATTGACTGACTAACAATTGAACATGTGAAATTGTGGATATAGATCCCATCTAAAGAGCTTTTTGTTAATTCTGAGATTTTGGTACATTGCTCTTGTTACTGTCACTTTGACCACTAGAGGAGCCTCTAGCTTTGCCTTTTTAGTCTTTTTTTGAGACACATCATGATCATTTCATTTCTCTCATCTCAATTCTTTTCCAATTATCCATGATTCCCATATGACAAAATGAAGCCAAGCTGCCACTCCTCAGTACAAGGGATCTCACTAGACAATCATAACCTTAAGGGGGATAAAGCTTTTGTTGGTTGTACATATGTTGAATGCAGTGCGTAGATGTATCTTTCTATTTTCCATATGTAGGGATTTACTGTTGCTTAACCTCTTTATATATAGCCATCCTTTGGGGGAATTCTTGTTTGCTTACCTTTGGGGGCTTAGTAGGTATAATTTATAGATGACATATTTGAAATTTTGAATACTAGCGTTTGGTTGTAATTTGGGGTGTTGCTATTTTGGGGGTGTGATCATTATGTCTATTTGGGTTAATGTTTTTCTCAAGGCTTTTCAGTTTGGCCAGTCCATACTATGAGGCAACCATACCCTGCATATTTGAGTCATGACAATCTATTCTATGATTTATGATTTTTTTAGGGTTTGTTTGGTCTCTTCTTGAAAATGGAGGTGATAAGTTCAAGCATGAGTTTTTCTACGAAAAGCCTATCATTGAATTTTTCACTTGCCAATCTTAAAAATAAAATTGACTTAGTGATAACATGAATCCAGTTCTAAAAGGGACAAGGATTGGTTTTATGAGTTGTGGTTAAGGTTTAAGTACGCTCAATTATATGCGACTGTTTGCTTTCTACTAATCTCTTTAAACTTTTATTATCAGATACAACATAGATCAACATGATTATTCTGTGCGGTTGAAAGCTGCACGGAAGTTTTTGAACGATGGTGACAAGGTTACATGAAATTTTCAGTATGTGTATATATTATATGCAAACAAAACCGTACCATCTTCATAGTATTAATGTATCAATATCTTTTGGATCAACTCTTGTAGGTTAAAGTCATAGTGAAGCTTAAAGGCCGTGAAAATGAATTCAGGAATATTGCTATTGAGCTTGTTAAACGTTTCCAGGGTGATGTTGGGGAGGTACGTGACATTGCTACTTGTGTCATTGTGCCTGATACTATTGAGACCATGAGACAAATTAGGGTATATTTGGTTTGAGAAAACTTGTTTTTATTTTCCCAAATAATTAAAAAAATGTCTTATCATTTTCACTTTATTTTCTGTTTTTAAATTTGTTTGGGAAAGAG